TAGGGGCTAGGTTTAGGACTAAGGTGTGAATTGAGGATGTGTTAGGTAAATGGTTAGGTTATGGATAAAGGTCATGGTTAGGCTATAGAAATGAATGAAAAATGAATGGAAGTCAATGCAAAGGCCCCACAAAGATAGCAAAACAAACCTGTGTGTGTGTGTGTTGTGTGTGTGTGTGTGTGTGTGTGTGTGTGTGTGTGTGTGTGTGTGTGTGGGTGTGTGTGTGTGTGTGTGTGTGTGTGTGTGTGTGTGTGTGTGTGTGTGTGTGTGTGTGTGTGTGTGTGTGTGTGTGTGTGTGTAGTAGAGTGCTGTATGAATATGTGTGTGGAGGTAAATGAGGGCACAGATTGTGTTGTAAAGAGCTTTGAGTATTTTGACTAGATAGAAAAGTGCTCTATAAGTACAGTCCATTTACCATTTAATCAGTTACCAAGAAAAAAGTGAGATTCATTAAAATCTGTCTGGTGGTTAATTAGATATTTTGCTAACAAAGAGTCAGGACTGACCACAACAGTTAATGGCAAATGTTTCCACAAAGGTCTCATCCAGTTGTTTCGCCCTTGAAGTATGCCTCTTAGAAATTTCTCTAAGCTACAATCACAACAAACTTTAGCTCAGTACCTGTATAAGTTAAGTGAGGTGAAGCCTTTTTAACGTTTTCTAAAGTCTGATGTTTCTGACCACCTCATGTTTGGTTGACTCCAAAAGTTAATCAGTTGTAGAAGTGCAACGTAAGATGACTTTCTGAGAGTTTCATCCAAATCTGTCCAGTGGTTTGTTAGATAAAAGAAGGAAATAAAAATCAGTCACAAGTCCATCTCAGACCAAACGGACCAATGCACCATGAGACTCATGGCTTTCTAGAGGACCTGGAACTTCCAAGAGTTCTGGTCTTTGTGGTCCAGACAGTCCATGACAGTGAAACCCAGTTTCCAAGCTTGCTGGTCCTTGTAGTCCAGGTAGTCCACAGAGGTGAAGCCCAGGGACGAGGCGGTGCTGTAGCCCTGGGAGGACAGAGAGGCAGAAGACTGGCTCAGAGAGCCCCCCATGGAGGGGACAGTGATGGGGCTGAGAGCACCCCCAGTGCCTATCAGCTGTGAGTGCATAGGAGACAGGTAGGGGCTGCAGTCCAGGCCTGTGAAGTAGGACGTTGTGTTGGTGTAGCCCTGGGTATAGGCAGACGGCTGACTGTAACTCATGGGGTAAGGAGAGGGTCGCTGCACACAGGAGGCCGACGGAGAGGCCAGGGGGTCCGGCAGGGGTGACATGGCTGGGCTCCAGATGGACACTGCTGTATTTCCAGTACTGGTACTGTGAGCCAGGCTGGGCCCAGCTGACTGAGCCAAGGAGGGGCTGAAGGAGCCAGATGGATTGGGAGCTGGATCAGGAATGCTGGAGTCCTGCACCGGTGAGGTCTTCTTCTTTGGTGGGCGGGGTTTAGACTGCCCGCTGCTCTGCTGCTGCTGCTGGCGGCATTTGGCCCTGCGGTTCTTAAACCACACCTGGACAAGAACAGGCACATATGTTACAACCAGTGCCAGAGTCCAAAGAAGAAAGATCAGGTCGGTAGATCCAGCATAGGATCAGGTCTGTAGGTTCAGGTTAGGAACTGGTCTGAAGGTCCAGGTTAGGATCAGGTCTGTAGGTCCAGATTAGGATCAGGTCTGTAGGTTCAGGTTAGGATCAGGTCAGTTGGTCCAGGTTAGGGTTAGATTAAGGTCAGGACCAAGTATGTTGGTCCAGAACAGGGTGCAGTGTGAGGGTTCAGGTTAGGGTCAGGTCTGTAGATCCAGGTTAGGTTAAGGTCTGTAGGTCCAGGTTAAACTGTGGCACTGACCACAGAGTAACCACAGCCCCCCAGTCAGATATCTAACTGACAAATGCTCATGAGAAGTGGGACCATGTAGTTTTGTACCTGCACACGAGACTCAGGCAGGTTGATCTTCAGGGCCACCTCCTCCCTCATGAAAATATCTGGGTAGCGGGTCTTGGAGAACAGGGCCTCCAGGATGTCCAGCTGAGTCCGAGTGAAGGTGGTGCGCTCCCTGCGCTGCTTCCGAGGTGTGGCTGCAGTAGGAAAGACAAACAACACAAAGCAGACATTGTAACCAGGGGTGTAGCTGCTCTAACCCAGGATGTAGCTACTTTAACCAGGGGTGCAGCTTCTCTAACCAGAGGTGTAGTTGCTCTAACCAGGAGTGTAGCTGCTCTAACCAGGGGTTTAGATGCTCTGTTGCTTAAATGGGACAGAAAATTCAAAACATGAATCAAGTTCAGTTTCAGTCAATTCATAGTCTTGATGTATTTTCCAGAATTGTGCTGACTTTTTCTTTAAAACTTTTTTTTACATTCATATGTAATTTGTCCGAAAGCTTTCCAGCATTTCATTAAAACAAAATTCTCTAAACTTTTCATGATTTTTCACCGAGTAAATCCAGAAATTCAAGAAGATATTTCAATTATTGTCAATCAGAAATGACAGTAAGTAGGTCTATAAAGTATGGTAGTCAGTCCTAATAAGTATTTATATTGTATAACATCAGATACTAAAAGCCAGGATACCTGTACACCGTAGAAGCAGAACATGGACTCAATGCCACTAGAATACTAGTTATTACATGCACCTATCAAAAGCTCAGAAAGACCATCTTTAATCAGCAGGTTCAAATTCCCTGAGTTTTCCTGTAAAATTTCATTTTCCATGTTTTTATTGATTTCCTGAGTTGCTGGGAACAATGTCTTTCTGTAATCCCTCCACATTTTACCCTGATTTACACAGAGACAACCAAAGTGCAACTAGCAAAGCTTGGACAAAATTTGTCCAAACTTTTAGCTGTTTACATTTAAAGATGGATTAAGATTCACCATTAGGTGAATAAAATACCAACATGTGTATAATATCACAGCAGAAAAAAAAACTAATTCAAACTGTTGCAAACACCAAATTCCGTGTTAAAATGCTGTAGCCTATTATTATTATTATTATTATTATTATTATTATCAACAACAACAACAACAACAACAATACTATATTATTATTATAAATTATTCATTTGATTTGGCTCTAACATCACACACCAATCTACGCATATTTACGCATCAACTGAGACGTAAATATAATTCCACAACAAAAACAACAAAACAAATGAGCAGCTTTAAGAGAAATATATGAAGATGATACAGACGTGGATAGGCGACGGTTGTGTGCAGGACATCTATCCCAGCAGCAGGCAGGTTTAACCCGTTCATGGTGTAATGGGGCTGCTTCATGTAGGACATCATCTTGACGGCAGGTCCTGGTGCTGGTCCTGGTGCTGACTCTGGGGTCAGGTTCAGCAGAACCCTACGGGGCCACGCACAGACGCACAGGACTTCTCACCAAAAGAAACGCCAAAGAGTTGTTTTCTCCCTAAAGCGCGCTTTGGGCTTCAGTTAACCCGGACCTCAGCAGCAGCAGAGCAGCATCCGAACTGATCCACCCAGTCAGAACCCACCCAACGATAACAGAACCGCGCAGGTGGACTGGCACCTTGGAGAGGTGGATACACGGAGTGACTTTACTGGCACGCGCTGCTAATTACAGGGAGCAAGTGGGTCCAGCTTACCCCATCCCCCAAACCCTTCCCACACACACACGCACCCCCTACACACACGCACGTGCGCGCACACACACGCAACCCCCCTCCACACACACACACAAACGCAAAACAGCAACAGACTGTATAGCGCCACACTCGCAATTCAATTCAGTTTATTTCTAAAGCTCCAAGTCCAAACAGAAGTCATCTCAGGGCAGTGAACAGAAACATTAACATACATAAAAAAGTTCTCTATCTAAGGAAGCAGCAGATGGTGTTGAATCTTAACTTCTAGCAGTCTCCCATCCTGAGCAAGCACAAAAGAGACAGTGGAAAGGAAAAACTCCCTTTTAACAGGAAGAAACCTCCAGCAGAACCAGGCTCAGGACAAGCTGCCATCTGCTTCACCCATCTAGGTTTGAGAGGACAGGAAGGAGAAACAGACAAACACAGAATGGCATGTCCAGATGTACTTTACAGAGGAAAGACAAAAAAACAAACAAAAAAAACAACAACACATGTTAAGATAGAAATAATTACAAATACTAGCAGGTATAGCAACGTAAGTGTAGGGGAACCCTACCTCAGAAACAGTTCACCACCTCATAAAAGAACACCTCATCTCAGAAAACAGTTAATCTCAGCTTAAACAAAAAAAGAGTTCCCGTCATCTCAAACCAACATCATTCATGTGTTTTGTGTTAGAAACTGTTTAAAATAAGATGCATCTATTCCCTTGGGAACAAACAGACTTTGGTTCACAGGTGTTCAATTCAGTTCGCAAACTTCTTAGTTAACACTAATGAAAGTGTAATAAAAAATAAACTGTCACTGTGTTAACTTAAATGCCAACTGAACATGAACTCATTTCCCATGAAAGGGACAGATCGTTTAATGAGTTTTGGTTCAACTGGCCTCGAAGTTGAAACATCAGCTGAGACTTTACCTTTATCAAAAAGGAATATTACTCCCCGGATGGGTTCCCATGAAGATAACATTTTAAAGAACCCTTTGTTTAATGACATTTACTTTTCAGGGAATGGACAGCGACAACTTTTGGAGAAACATTGCCTGCTATTAACCCCAAAATTGTAATTTTCTGTAAATCTTCATAACTGAATGTTTATTTATGAAAATGTGTGTTTTAAGTAATCACTCTTTAAGATAATCATTTATCTTATTTGTCTCTTTTGAAAGAGTAACTTTTAAAGGCAGACAGAGAAAATGGACTTTAGATTTTATAAAACATGACAGGAGTTAGGACCATCCCTCTTCCTAGAGGTGGACTAAAGTCAATCTGAAACACACATACAGTTAAGTTTCACTTCTTTCTTCAATCACTGACTGAGGCTTTGTCTCATGAAGATTTCACTTGAGCTCGGAACTGGGAGAGAAAAACTCAGTTTCTGCATGGAAGAGAAGTATCCTTTCTGTACAGAGACAGGACAAAAGATACAGAAGAAATTAAGCAGAACCTGACCTCACCAGAACATCACACCGCAGAGTGGTAAATCCCTGCTGACTTCAGAGCCAGTGGCTGGACCTTCGTCCCTCCAACCGATGATAGGTGACTTTTGAGGAAAAATCAGCCTTTCAGTCACCGGAGCATCTCAGGCCTTGCTAGCAGGGCCGGATTTAGGAGGTTGGGGGCCCCTGGGCTGGAGTCAATATATGGGGGCCCTATATATATATATATATATATATACACATTTTTTTTTGTATGTGTTTGTTTTGTTTTAGAGGATGAGCAGAAAATGACCGAACAGTAAGTTTGCACAACTTACAACTTTAGTAAGCCAGTTGTCACAAACTACAAACAACTCTGAACTCTTTTCTAGAAAGACTAAACCACATGTTGGGGTTGAAACTAGAATATGATGCTTGCATCATATTCTAGTTTTTTTTCATATTCTATGATTTTTTACAGCCCCCTGTTCTCAATAAAAGCAGAGGTGGGTGCAAATGAACAATTTTCATCTTCTAGACCAAGGTTTTTACAGAGAACATCTTGAAAAATGTCATAGCTCTGCTCTCTGTCAGCTCCTCTGTCATGCTGCACACTTAGTAATCACTCAACTCATGTCACCTGTCACCGCTCATTATCCCACAGCTCCACCACCTGGTCCAGTCAGTACTTAAGTTCACTCATTCCTCTCAGTCTGGGCCAGATTCTCTATCCTGTCTCATCAGTAGTAGACTTTCCAGCATTCCATTGATTGACTCATCACGTTCATGACCCTTGCCTTGACCACGACCACGCTTTTGCCTCAGCCCTCGTCTGCTTTTGCTCATCTGATCAGGTACCGACTCATGCTCTTGTTTTTTGACTCTCTTTTTGGATCACGTACTGGATACTTCTGCTGAACAACTGACTTCACGGTATGAACTCTGCCTTTCCCTTCTGACTGTTTTTTTTGGATCACGGATTAAAGGTCAAGCTCATTCTGTATCACGGACTTATCCTTATCCCTGAATCTGATTCCCACAGATTCATTTCCCCAATTAGTCTCTTTCCCCCTGCATCTACTAACCTTTATCTTTTAGTTGCAAGCCTGTTGGACTCCGTTCCAGTGGACCTTAACATCAGTTCTACTTCTACTGGCAGCCCGCCACTTCAACACTACCCAATCACGAACTACCAATCAGAAGATCGGAACCAGCCCAGAACCGGACCTACTCCAGGGTTTTACTTTATTTCACAATAAATCTTTTAACCCTCTCAGTGGTTGTTGTTGTTGTTTGCGATCCGGCCTCTGGTTCTTGACAGAAAAATATGAAGAACAAAATACAGATTTTCATTTATTAATGACACTTCTGCATTCATCTTATTTGGAGGAACTAGAACCACAAACACGACCTACATTTACTCAAATGCAAACCATGTAACCCAAATAAGAAAACAATACTCAACCCTGAAAAGTTAGAAACTTTGAGCCTGTCTCATAATGCAGACATGAAAAATCTTTGTTTTGTATCTACAATCTTTTAAATTTTTTACTTTAATTTAGCAGATAAACTTTAAAAAAGACCAAGTTTGTTTTCAAATTATTTTACAGCCCCAAAGTTCTTGCAACATAACAATTTTAGCCCTCATGTCAAAAAGTTTGGACATCACTGCCCTAAGCAGTAATATCAAGCCCTTTCAGTAATGAGTGAAAGGGTTAGACACTTAAGCCTTAGTCTGATATGAAATTTGAAAAGTTGCCCACTTTTCTGGATTTTTTTGCTGCAAATTCCTTGACAAGATCACTGAAGTCCAGCTGTCTCACTAGATCACTCTCAATAGACATGAGAGTCAAACGGTTCAGTCTTTCCTGTCCCATTGTGGATCTGAGTCTATTTTTAACAATTTTAAGCTTGGAGAATGATCGCTTACCACTTGCATTTGTGACAGGAAATGTCAGGTAAAGCCTGAAAGCAATATCCACATTTGGGAAGATGTCCTGCAATTTCTTTTCCCTAATGAATTGTAAAAGCAATGGAGCAGATGTGATGCCTTTATCACGAATAAAATCTTTAAACTGGACAATTTCCTCCACAAAGTCCGTCTCCAAGTCAGATGAATATTTACTTTGGAGATGAGATGCTTTGTTTCTTAGCTCTGGAACAGTAACACCAGAAAAATTGTTCAGGAAGCCAAAAGTGTTGTTGAGGTTATCATACGCAACATACCTGCGATCGATTTCAGAAAGCAATCTGTCAACAACCACCAAAAAAAAACAATGGTGGAGAACTTTTGTTGAGCTGATAAGTCAACCTCTGAGGTGGCGCTCTCTCCAAACAATGTTTTTGGAGTCTTTGATCTTCGACCAGTAACTCTGTAAGCCTGTGAAACTGTTGGAGACAACTTCTTTGCTTGAGACTCAAACCTATCAAATTGATCTCTCAGACCTCCAATGTACTCCCGCAAGGATCCCACCAAATCCACAGCTGTACACAAGTCCAGTTCCACAGACTGCAAAGCTGCACTAGCTTTTTCAAAGCGGTGCAAAATGCTATGCCAAAATGTACACATAAAAGCTGTTTCAAGCTTGTCCATTTTTTTATCAAGTGATCTTGCTTCATTTCTTATTGCTGCCTTTTGGTTTGTGTCATTTACAATATTCTTCAATGATTTTTGAATGTTTGCATAGTTAATATGCACTGCCTGTGTGGCATAAGCATGTGCAGCCCATCTAGTGTTCGAAAGGGACTTCAATGTTTCAATGCGCTTGTTTGCATTAGGCTGCAGTCCATCTGTTACCACCTTCCACCTTGCTGTCGACTTGGAGCAAAAGCTAAATACGTTTTGCACAAACTGGAAAAAAATCAGCTGTCTCAAAACAGCAGTTAACACTATTAACTCCAACCAAATTCAGGGTATGTGCAGCACATGGAACCCATTCAACTAGTGGGTTGAGTTCTTTCATACGTGCTTGTAGTCCTTTATATACTCCTGACATGTTGGCAGCATTATCATAGCATTGCCCCCTGCAGTTTGCAACATCAATTCCCATCTCTTCCAAAACCTTGAGTACAGACGCACATAAAGCTTCCCCAGTATGACTTTCAATTGGTAGAAACTTCAGAAAGCGTTCCTGCGAGTGTCCTTCAGGTGACACATGTCAAGACAAATGTTAACTGATCAACATGTGCCACATCTGGCGTGGAGTCAACAGAGATTGAGAAGTATTTTGCCATTTTTACTTCACTCACTATTTCTGATAGAACACGATCACCCATCAGCTGAATAAATTCCTCACATGTTTGGGAAGAAAGATATGAGGGTTTCCCTGAACCTGCATTTCCATATTTCTCTATGTGAGACTTCAGAAAAGGATCAAACTCGCTAATTAACTCCAGTATTCCCAGATAATTCCCATTATCAGTTCGGCCAAATATGTCACTGGCTCCTCTAAGAGCCAGTCCCCTCTCTGCTAAAAACTTGACAACAGACACAACTCTTC